TTTTGGGAGGAATCCTCTGTATAGACTGTTGGGGGTCGCTCTCGTATAGAATGCAATCAGGTATATACATCTTTCCTTTCCCTTTCAATATTCTTTCAGTTCATATGCTCTGCCATTACCAAACGATATACAGACTTTAACGCCTTACATGTTTTGAACGATATATATCTAGGGTTGTTTCTTGTCTAAATTCGGGGTGTGACGAATGTAAACAAATCTGACATTCCTGGACACTGAAAGCATCCATCAAAATATACAACGAAATAATTACATCCTAATGAAAAGCTCAGTATATGAAAGGTAGAACAGAACACAAGACTCAGAAAAACGAAGAAAACACTCAAATTTCGAAGCTGGCATCAATGAAATACTGTACGATGTAAGAATGCTAACCACTTAACAGCAGCCTACAGATCAAGAACATAGGCAAAATATTAATTGTAATCTTTTGGGTTATGACACTATATAATGTGATTGACTGTCAGAATTACTAGTGATAAACCTATCGATTCCATCTTAACAGTAAACTACACGGCAACATAATTAAAAATACAATTCAAATGTTGCACTAAATAAATGTTTAAATTTCAAACGCTAAATAGTCAAACTTGTTTTCTACTTGTGCGCAGTATCCGATATTTAACATATTGATTTAATTAAAAACTACAACTCACTGAACATTCCGTCAGTGTACATCCTGGGAAAGATGATCAAAAACCGTGGCTGATTTGGTTACTCACCTGTAAAAGATAGAAATAAAAATCAGTTGCAGATATTTATGGTATCATGTGGCACATGCCGATTAAACGGCTTGAGCGACTAGGTGGTACAGGATAAGTTGCGAAGCCGCTATCAGATGTTTCAATCCAATATGGAAGCCATGACAATCTTTTGATATACATGCCGTAACACAGTTGAAGCCATCTAACAGCTGTCATTTTCAAAGCGGTGTAAAGATAAAACACCAAATTGAGATCAGGCGAAAACACGCAAAATGAGTCAAAGAAGTATGAACCTTTTACACAAAACTGGTCCATAGTTCTTTACTATTGTGATAAGCCATTGTGTTCCTTCATAATCCGAACACAAGTACCTGCTTAGATATTCCACTTAACTTTAATCTGTGTTACAGGATGAGAATATTTCTAGCTACCATAATTTTCACTGATAATACTTGAACCACCTACGTTTTTATTATTTCTACAATTAGATGGTCTTCTAGTCTTCTAAGACACATTAAATGTCGCAGAAATCTCATTTCTGATTCTCTCAGTCTTTTGGCGTCCATTCTTTTAATATCCATGCCCAACGTCTTCGCTGTGATATAACGTATTCATTTTATTTCTGCTAACATTTGTATACAGAAATTCCTCTTAATAATGTAGTATATTTTGTTTCCATGTCATTTCTGTGGTTTGAGACACACTACAGCATCCCAAAAATTCTACTTATATTCTGACGCTTATTCGATAACTTTATTGTCAAACATAACTTTTACTCTTTCAATGTTAATACCGCATATTGCCGTAGATTCAGTTTTTGTAGTAGAGATATTCATTTTATGTTTGTTTTGTCTGATCGGTTTTTCTTCCATTGTAGTTAATCTCCTACATAAGTGCACGGCTCTTACAAAATACCCATTTACATACCATCCACTTCAGAAACTTCTGTGCTCCTGTCTCCTATATTGAAATGTAAATATTAAAATACAAATAAAAAGTTGCCTCGTTTTGTACTGTGTAAAACTCGGTCCACTACCATTAAGAGAAAAACAGAGATGCAGGATATCTGAAAACATGATGGCGAGGAGAATGTTTGAAACAAAGATGGAAGTAACAGGAGAATTGAAATAAGTGCATAATAAAGAGATTAATAAATAGCAAGGTTTTAAATATTAGCAATAAACAGCGAACTAACAAAAACCAGAAACTAAGAAGAATAAGTTGCGTTATGATTGGAGATATTTAAATATGCATCTCGGTTACTCAGCATCTTTTGTCTCCGACCACGTATTTCGTGCAGAAAAAATGCACGGGAGGTGACGTCACTAACTGTAGCGTCACGCTTTCTGGAGATTACGTCCTAATGCAAATGCACCTTCATAAATTCCTGACTTTCTAAATGTGTACTATATAGTTTTCAGTTCAGTATCTACTTCATTTCCATTCACGTGTCTCAGGTAACATCAATAAAATATTTTAGTTTTATCCGTCATAACACAACAAATCTGAAATACACAAATATAACATTTAAATGTATTTGAATTATATGTGAATGTGTGGTTATCAGATCCATTTGTTTTGACACAAACTTCAGTATGTGGCGTCTAATGCAATGTACAGCAATATTTTTTTCAACCGCGGCACCCCTGATTTGTCGAAATACTTGACGGAACATAACACAATTTAGCCTCAAGAAAAGGGAATACGAAATAATACATGACCATTAATACGAATTTACAAAAAAAAATCCTTATCCTATAAGATTGCAATAATTTAAAAAACTGCTGAATAAACCTACCAACATGTGCGTGTGTGCATTACGAATTCCATTTATGAAAGAGAAGATATTGCCATTTTCTGACTATAGCATGCAAATACACAATTTCATATAAAAATTCCTGGCACACCGGTCGCGGAACACCACTCTAAAACGCCCCTAAAAGAAGAATAAGAAATAAAAAGAAGGAAAACTACATGTAACAAACCCAAACAAGAAGAAGAATTCTGCCGTAGAGTACAACCTCCGTATGTATTTTAAGCGATTAAAGTCGCCGTTAATACTGACCATTCATAAACATATACATACATTTGCTCGGCTATGAAAAATGAACAGCATATAATCTCTCAACTGACGCCCTCCCTTACACGTGCTTTGCAAGGGTTTCTCCTGTGGCAATTAGTGTGGTAATAAATGCTTTGAGCGGCATAAATGTACAACAAATTTAAATATTTTTTTATTTTAATACCATTTATGGTTAAAAGTAAAATAATATCAATTTTTAATACCAATCAAAATAATCATCCAAAGACTCTACAGTAACGGTATTTGAAAGAACATTTAATTAGAGTCTTTAAATCTTTAATAATTTCAATATACATATATAACAATGCAAACTGATGAATTGGTAAACTTTCACGCATATACAATTTAGACACTGAAATTCTTAATTATTTATACTGTAATATAATTCAGAAAAAAACAAGTTAATAAAGCTTTTCTAGTTTCTTAAAGTCAGGGTGTCCTAGAACTTGCGTCTGTAGTCAGAACATTTGCATTGGCTAAGGCAGAACGTTTAAAACACGGGGAAGCAGACATCCGTACGCAGCTGCTAGTAATCGCAAATGTCTGCCACAGTAATGGGATCAGTAATTGGTTCGAAAAACTTCCACGATGCGAAAGAAGTAATTATTTAGAACCAGTTTGCTGGAGAAGGAGAGAGGGAAAAAATTCTTACCACAATTAAAAAAGAGTTGAAACTCCGCATTTTCCTGTAACAGATTCATTTTTATCGGCGACACTGAGAAGACTTCATCCCTTTCTGCTTTCTTCATTTTAATTTACCTCGAACTGCCTTCTCTTATTCGGAAAAAAATTCAAAACCGATTGAAAATACATTTATTTCTATTATTTAAAAGAAAGTTTTACAAACATGTATTTAAATGTCGTTTACTTAATGACGCACTCAGTCGCTCAGACATATAACGCCGATTTATAGTATGATTAATGGACTAAAAATAATTCTAAAGTAAGTGGTCGTGGCCTAACGTAAATCACTTTACAGACATATTCCTGGAGGGACTGAGAAAAACATTAAAAATTCAGTCGGTATAAACGGTCCATAGACCGAAATATAAACACCGGATTTACTAAATACGATCAGGGCGATCGGCCTAATGATGGAGGCAGCAAGGATTTCTGAAACGTCGGTAAAATTCTACCAGACTACACGGCGTAACATTCCATAAAACAGTTATCTTCGTAGTAATTTCATATTCAGACGTATCTTTGTCTTCCACGTGTCTTTTCATCATCAAATTTGCCCTACGTTTATTAATTTAGTTAAAACACTTTGAATGAATTGAAGAAGCAGTACTTTCAGGTCTTAACAAGAGAATTCTCTCCTTATGTTGTCTTTTGCCTTCAGAGTAACACGTAGATTACCATGTTTAAGTAACAAATGCTCTTTATGTGGGGCGACAGAAAGCGAGATTCACATACTATTAAAGTGTACGGAAACCGGGAGGTGGAGGGAACAGCTCCTGAGGAACAGGTGGTTCACCGTTGGCGAAGAGTTGGCCTTCAAGAAAATTTTAAGCACTACGAATGACACGGAGGTCAGGGATGTAGGGAACTTTCTGTACAAAGTAAGATGTAA